GTAGAGTACTGTGGCATCATAGCTCACAGCAACCTCAAACTCTTGGGCTCAAGTGATTCTCTTGCCTCAGCCTCCTAAGTAGCTGGGAGAACACTGGGCTATTTTTTTGTTGTCGTTGCAATTGCCATTGTTGTTTTAGCTGGCCCCGGGCCAGGCTTTGAGCCCTCCAGCCTCAGTGTATGTGGGGGTGCCCTACCCACTGAGTTACGGGCTCCACCTCTATGTGGGCTTTTTAGGTGACACTTTTGAGCTCATTCATCTCTTTACCTGTTTATTGACTGGTTGTATTTTTCTGTTAGTGGCTTAGTCCCACCTCTTCTTGGGTATGTGGCTCTTTTAAAATGTATTTTTACATTGAAAAGTTTTTATTTTGGTTGTCATTATCATCTCTTTATGGCTTATCTTGGCTGCAGTAATGAGAAGAGGAATGGAGACCTTATTCTATAATTAGTCATTCCACATTCCTACTCATTTGCTAACTGTGTTAGGCTACTGGGAACCTGGGATGTGTGTCCTGGGTACTTGGCACCCAGCTGCTGTCCTAGAGCTGATGTTTTCATGCCAAAAGGAAGACAGTGGACAGAAGACACTTTGGCCGTGTTAGATGGGCCAACAGTGGGGGTTCTGGGGAGATGCTGTTGGAACTGGGACCTGGACATGGAGTTTCAGCCCATATGATCTGGACAGGGGCGGGGAGCCTTTGCTAGGGACTATGTGTACAACCTTAGGCTTGGGGTGGGCTTGATCTTCCAGAATAGCATGAAGATCTGCCTGGCTAGAGATTCCAGGAGGCAAAGAAAAGTTGGATGTGAAGTTGGAGAGGAGGTTGGATTTTATTCTGGGGAGTAGGACACCTGGATGATTGTAGGTGGCAGAGTGAGGTGCTGTTGTTGTTCCAGTGTTGGGGGTTCTGCCCTGCTGCTGTGTGACAGGCACTCTGAGTAGGGTGCTGTGTTGTGTGCTTGTTGGGGGCCTGTGGGCAGCACCTGCAGGGTCTCGGTGGGGAGGGATGGGCAGGGCAGTGTTGACTTGTCTTTTTTTTTTTTTTTGGCCCCCTAAGGAGCTATTTTAGACATTTTTTTCCTCCTGTGAGATTTTTTTTTAAATGGAGGTGAAATTCACTTAAAATTATTTTAAATAAACAATTTAGTGGCATTTAGCAAATTCAGTTTTGCGTAGGCGCTACCTCTATCAGTTCTAAAGTATTTATTTCCATTACTCCTGGATAAAACCGTGTGCTCACTAAGCAGTCATCCTCCCTTACAACGGCACCCCCCTTTCATCCTATCATCTGCCCCTGGCAACTGCTAATGTTTATTCCATTTGTGTGTCTTTACCTATCCTGGCTATTTCCACCTCCCCCCCTTTCTTTTTTTGAGACAGAGTATCACTCTATTGCTTGGGGTAGAGTGCCCGGGCATCATAGCTCACGGCAACCTCAAACAAACTCTTGGGCTCAAGTGATCCTCTTGCTGAAGCCTCCTAGAGTGCTAGGATTATAGGTGTGAGCCACCGCGCCTGGCCAGATAGTGGCTGTTCAGTGCACGGTAGAAGGTTTAGCGGAGTCCCTGGTGTCTCCACCTACAAGATGACTAGCAGTAATCCCACTCGTTAAGTTATGTCAACCCAACAAATGTCTACACACATTGTCCACCGTGCCCTGGGGAGCAGAACTGCTGTGCGTGAGCATCAGTGTTTTTGAACATAGGTGGTTCACGTGGTGAAGCCAAAGTCCTGGGGAAACAGAAAATGATGCTACGATAATAGCATGCAATTACTGGAGTGCTCACTAGCTGCCAGGCACCCTTCAATGACTGATTGATTTAATCCTCACAACGACCTGATGAGGTGTAGGGACTTTTATCAACCCATCACATCATATAATTAGTATCTCTCTGCCGCTGCCAGGAGGAGAGATGCAGAGGTGACAGCAATTTGCCCAAGGTTACCCAGCACGGCAGCAGCTGAGCCAGGACGAGAATCTGCAGTGTCTGGCTCTCAATCCATGCTTGAATCCAGGCCTCTTTCTATCTGGAGTCTTACCCGCTGTATTACATTAACAATGATGTTGGCAGGGCCTGGCAGGGGAGCTAAGATTAGCTCATGTCTATTAGCTGACCTAGTTGGTGTACAAGTGTTAACCCATCAAATTGTCATTCTGCGTGTCCCCATTTGGCAGGTGAGAAAACTGAAGCAAGTTCCCGTGTGTCCAGTCACCTTTGAAACCTGTAGGGAATGTCTTAATTCCTAACCATAGTCTGCCGTTAGTGTATTTTTCTGAAGGGCTGGATCATCTCGGCTTATTTCTCTCTTGCTCGTCTCAGGAGAGCTGGCCATTTCCTTGTCAGTCACGAGTTTACTCCAGGTTGTCTTTGAATGGGCCCAAGAAGCATTAACGGGACAGTGTCCCAGGAATGGGGATCATTGAGGGCAAAGGGGCCTGCAGGATGGGAAAGGTTCTTCAGGAGCCTCTGTTGGTCCCTCTAAAAGCTTGTTTTGTTTTTTTAAATCTTTTGGTTTCCTGTCCTTCCCCTACCCCGTGCAGTGAAGCTGAGAAAGAGCGGTTGTCGGTAGTTTTAAGGTATTTTTTTTTAAAGCCTCAAGCATAGGTGCAATTCCCTGTCCTCTTGTAAAAGTTCGAAACACCGCAAAGAGGGAGATAATTTTCCAACGTCTCCTTCATTCCATCTGGCACTGAGTTTGGCTTCATGCAGCCCCGGGAACCTTTGAAATGGGAGCTGGAGATTTCCCAGGGGCTGTGTTGGTCACTGGCAGGTGCAGAGGCCACACGCAAGCTGCCGTGGCGTCTTCCCCCAGACAGATGACATGCCTGTGTAAGGCTGGCTCCGGGTCTCTGCATCTGGAGCGCGTGGGGGTTGCTTTAATCGCTATTTATTTTGAGATTTATGCCCGTGAATCGGCCAAACCAATTTTAGTGGCAGCTTAGCCGATTTGTCTTAGAGCTTTGTGCTTAGTAGAATAACTAAGGAGGGCTCCTTTCTTTGTGGCTTTAACGGTTTAACGTCAGTTAAAGCCCTTTGCTTGCAATAAACGGCCAACCCTCCCCACCCCACTCCGTTTGTGAGGCCGTAGTGGCCTTTTTGAAATCAAATACGATCTCACTATTTCTCTAGTCTCTCCCTACCCCACACCTACGCGTTTGACTTATTTGTTTCATTTGCAAATCTGTCTTTTAACAATGACATACTTTTTCAGCTTCACCAACCTCCACAAAGACGGGACAAGCAGGGAGTCTGCCCGACAGCCCGAAACCTTTCTCTCCTCAACCGTCGACTCCAGTCACAACGAAAACAGACAAAACGTCCACCACTGGGAGCATCCTGAATCTTAACCTGGGTCAGTTTTTGGAAGTACCTTTCTGTGGCAGCTGGGAATATTTTTGCAAGTTGTCATACCCTGTTGTGTATGTGGTTCCTGGACCTTGAACTTCTCTGTGCAAAAAAAAATGTAAAAGGTTCAGGGGGTCAAGGAAGGGATTTCTTGAGGCTTGTGGACCTGCAGAGTAGTTTGACCGTGGCGCCTTCTCTGCCCTGTTCCCTGTATGTAAACACATACCTGCTTTGGACAGGAACATGTTTCTTGAACCACTGTTTGCCCTTCCTAAATGCAAAATTTTTTTAAATGCTGGTTTTCATTCCCTGAATAATAATAATAATAATAAAAATTGGAGTAGAACCTCTGTAAGTTGACCACCCAAAGGGCTGTAGAACAAACTATCAGCGTATGGAAGTGTCCAACACACAGAACGAGGCTTACTGTACTGATATAGGTGGGGCATGTCTGGTCTATGAGAATTAGGTCAACTTAAGGAAGTGGTCAACTGTGGAGGTTATACTGTATTTTTTAACACGTTAGGTTGTTGGTTGTTTTAAAAACTCTACCTTATGCCAAAATCTTTAGCAAAAACTGGTACCCAGAAATGCTGAAACAAACAAGATTGATTGATTGATCCCATCATGACTCCTGATTTTCATCGAACATCTGTTATGTGCTAGGCTGGAGAGCAAGTTGGCTAAGGACCCTGCTCTTGTTAAGCTTGGGTTGTAGAAAGGGAGAGACAATAACCGAGGTAAACAAGCAAGAGACGTTCACCGCACGAGGGATGCCTTGAAGGTAAAGCGTGCGATGTGATGAGGAGACAGGTGGGCAGGTTGGGGCAGAAGCAGCAGTTTCAGGACCTGAGGAGGTGATATTTGAACTGAAGTTTGCATGACAAGAAGACCCAGTCATGCCACTCTCTGAGGAAGAACAGTCTAGGACAGGGGTCCTCAAACTTTTTAAACAGGGGCCAGTTCACTGTCCCTCAGACTGTTGGAGGGCCGGACTGCGGGCCTCGGAATGAGTGGGCTGCTAAGCAGGACAGGCAGTGGTGGCAAAAACACAGGGTGGGCCGTATAAATGTTCTAGGTGGGCTGCATGTGGCCCGTGGGCAGTAGTTTGAGGACGCCTGGTCTAGGAGGAAATGAGAGTTTTTGAAGGCCCTGGGATAAAGATCAACTTGGTGTGTTACAGGACTAGCAAGGAGGCTGGGGCGGCTGCATCCTGCTGAATGAGGTAGATGGAGGCAGGGAGGACAGGGGCCTCGTAGACCTTGATGTGGAGGGATGTGGACACTCCAGAAGGACTGCTCTGCATGCTCTGTCACAATAGTTCCTCTCAGTTCATTATTCTTGTCTGGAGGCAATTTTACTAACATTCCCTCACTTCTTGCAGTATCTGGAGACATTTCTGGTCGTCACCCCTGGGGGGTGAAGGGCTCCAGTGCATAGTGTAGGCCCTATAACAGAGATGGGCTGGATGGTGTCAGTAATTGTGCTGGTGATTTGCATGTGGCAGGAAAAGTAGGAACCAAAGGTTCAGTTTAGATTCTGTTAAGTGTGAGATGTCTGTTAGACCCTGGGCAGAGAGGTTGGAAGGGCAGCTGGGGGCAGGAATTAGGGTGCCCCGAGGCCGGGGCAGGGCAGCCAGTATAATTCTGGGAATCTTATTTATTCATAGTAGCTGGAGTTCTTGTGATTGTGGTGTGGGAGGGGGCCACAGAGGAGGTTGGAGGCTGGAGCTGCTCATTGTCCGATGGGGCATGGGACGCCCCTGGTCCAGCCCCTGAGCTTGCTGAGGTTGGGAGTCAGGGCCAGAGCATCAGGAAAGGGCCCCGGGCACTAAGCATGTGGAGGTCAGGCAGAGGAAGGGCAGTGGGTGGTAGAGCCTGGGAAGGGGCAGCCAGTGAGGGGGGCTATGCCAGAGGGGTGTTGTCCTCTAGGTCCCCAGTGCAGGGGTTTCAGAGAGGCACCTGTGCCCAGTGAGGTTTGTGTGTCAGTTCTGCGGCCTTGTCCTATAGTGCCATGTTCTGTTGGAGAAACTGAGGCCTGGAGAGGAGGTTTGAGGTGTCCAGGATCCCAGAGTCTGGGCGGCAGTAGGGCTGGAGGAGCTGAGCCTATTTCGCCATCCTGGGTCACATGGTCGTGCAGCCCAAATGTGATGGCTGTCTTTGGGTTGCTTTGGGGGCACCCGTTCCCATCGATTACTTGGTTCCTCGCTTAAATGAAAAGGGGACCCATTCGCTGCCTTGGGAACATTGACTGTTCCCAAAAATGCATTTTGCTTTCTCACACCCTCCTCCCACCTCCATATCCCGAAAAGAAATGCTGTGTGGAGGTGTTCTCGCCGTGACATTTCCTCTCTCCCAGTCATGCTTGGCAAGAATAGCTCTTTCTCTATACCGGGTGGTCACTGGGCGTCCTTAGGACACGGTGGATCTTTCGATGTGGTTTGATGCAGTGTGGGGGTGAAAGTTCTTCCTGCTGTGTGTCCTGGTGGGCGGGCGCCACGGTGGGTTGGCACAGGGGAGGCTGAGGCTTGTCCTGTCGTCTGTCTTGGTGGCTCTTCCAGTCCTGGGATACACTCTCATCTTTGTCAGCGGGTTTGAAAACCCTGGGAATGTGGGTGTTTTATGGGCTGGGATTTCAATTACCTAATGAGAAGAGGATTAACGAGGGACCAGCAGAAGTACTGTGGGTGGGTAGAAAAGTTAGAACATAGAGGGAAGTGCCAAAGAATTCTCTAGCCATTCTCCAGGGCCTGAGCACATGCTTTATGGGGCTTGTTTATGTCCATCATCCCTGCAAAATACATTTTACTTTCTGTATATTAACACTATTAATAAGAACTAGGACAACCTTTAAAGTAGGTATTTGCCCTATTTCACAGAAATGTAAACTGAGGGAGGCCAAGATTGCATATGGCTCCGGTAGAGTTTGGCCTTTGGGCTTAGGTTTGTCTGCCTAAGCTCTTAGCTGAGATGCCTGACTGCAGTGTCACACAGCAGGGCTGTGTCTTGACTGTCGTGGCCCTTGGCAGTGTTCCCTGTGCCTGTTGGATAAGGCTGCTCAGTTGTAGGAGTCAGGGGTAAATGAAGATTTGGAATTGGCCATAACATGGAGGACTGAGCCTTTCTAAAGGAAATAGCTCTCAGCAGTTGAACTCGTCAGACTCTGGATTTTCAAGAAAAACAGAAATCCAGGATTTTATGTGAATTCTCCTAGTTTTAACTTTTTTTTTTTTTTGCAGTTTTTGGCCAGGGCCAGTTGTTACCCGCCACCTCCAGTATATGGGGCCAGTGCCCTACTCCTTGAGCCACAGGCACTGCCCAGTTCTCCTACTTTTTAAAAGTTGGCAATCAATTTCATTAAAAACATAAAACCGGCTCGGCGCCTGTGGCTTAAGCGGCTAAGGCGCCAGCCACATACACCTAAGGTGGCGGGTTCGAATCCCCAGCCCGGGCCCGCCAAACAACAATGATGGCTGCAACCAAAAAATGGCCAGGCGTTGTGGCGAGCGCCTGTGGTCCCAGCTACTTGGGAGGCTGAGGCAGGAGACTCGCTTGAGCCCAGGAGTTGGAGGTTGCTGTGAGCGTGATGCCATGGCACTCTACCCAGGGGGATAGCTTGAGCCTCTGTCTCAAAAAAAAAAACCCCATAAAACGAAGGGCCAGGAGCGGGGGCTTGTGCCTATAATCCCAGCATTTGGGAGGCTGAAGCTGGTGGATTGCTTGAGCTCACAGGTTCCAGACCAGCCTGAGCCAGAGCGAGACCCCCATCTGTAAAAATAGCTGGGTGTTGTGTCGGGTGCCTGTAGTCCCAGCTACTTGGGAGGCTGAGGCAAGAGGATCACTTGAGCCCAAGAGTTTGAGGTTGCTGTGAGCTAAAATACCACGGCAGTCTACCAAGAGTGACCAAGTAAGACTCTGTTTAAAAAAAGAAACACCCCCCCCCCCCATAAAACCAGTAACTCTACTTGGGGCAAAACAAACAAACAAAAATGCAGAAACCAGTCCCTGGGTCACTATAAGTTCAGTAGCAGCGATGTTCGGACTCTCAGAGTGGTGCTTGAATTGGATCTGGGGGTTAACATGGTCTTATGTGTGTGCAGAGCCCCGGGTCTGGCCCTGGTTGCCAACACCTTGTTCCCTCATTGACTGTCTTCTCTCTAAAACGAGGAGCTGATCCCGGGGGATTGCTAGGGGCCCCCTTTTGTGACACCGTGGGGATTATAGGTCATAAACAGGAATGAGCTTCTGAAGTGAGGAGAGAAGTGGAGGAGGGCCTGCTTGTTTTCTTCCAGACTCCTGTTTGCTCTCTCTTCTTATCTTCTTTGCTCTCCCCTCTCTTCTTATCTCGCTGAAGGAATTCTGCAGCTCCTAGTCCTGTTAGTGACAAAATGTGCCTTGATGCTCTGGGGAAGATGTCAACAGAGCAATGGAAAGTTGTCAGAGCTGGAGCGCTTCTGCTTGTCTATTTCTTCAGGAAGAAAGGAGGCCTCCTTTCTTTTGGTGCATAAAGTAATACCTTGGAAGTGGGGCATTCTTTGAGCCCATGAATGCAGAACTAGGGCTCAGATATCCCAGATGCTGTCCTGGTTTTCTTTTCTTTTGAGACACAGTCTCACTATGTCACCCTTGGTAGAGCGCTGTAGCGTCGCAGCTCACAGCAACCTCAAACTCTTGGGCTTAAGTGATTCTCTTACCTCAGCCTCCCAAGTAGCTGGGATATAGGCACCTGCCACAAGGCCTGGCTGTTTTTTTTTTTTTTTCAGTTTTTGGCCGGGCCGTGTTTGAACCCACCACCTCTAGTATATGAGGCTGGCGCCCTACTCCTTGAGCCATAGGCGCCGCCCAACTATTTTTTGTTGTTGTTGTTGTTGTTGTTGCAGTTGTCATTGTTTTAGCTGGCCTGAACCTACCAGCCTCTGTGTATGTGGTCGGTGCCCTAGCCACTGAGCTACAGACGTGGCTCCTGTCTTGGTTTTTTTTAGTGAATGCGGTGGGGAAGGGAAGATCT